AAAAAGGGTGTAGTGATCAGTATCCATCATCTTTCCAAGTGCCGTGTCACTACATCAATTAATACAATTGAGCAAAAAATGTCACGGGCCCAGTGGAAAAACCTTTTCACAGCCTTTCAGGGGGAAGTTTACTTGCAGCTTTTTTCCCTTGCATTAGCTCCTGTCATCTACAAAACAACCGACCCAGTGGTGTCAATTATATTTGATTGACTGAGTAAAGCACACACACAAATAAGCGAAAACAATGGACACAAAAATCTATATATGACTCCCCTTGTCAAAGAGAGTGCTTGTCTTCTCCATTTTCATGCGCACGGTGTCCTGCTGCTCCTGGCTTAAATGTTTCCTTCAGCCCCCAAACTATCACCAATTAAGTTAGCAGGGTCTTCAAAGGTGTCAAACGACTCCCTAGGCAATCGGCTCTAACTGCTGTTCAATAAATGAGGTCTAATTTATCAGTTTAACTTCACTTCTAAAAATCTAATGCTTCACAGTGCTGGGCACTGTTTACCTAGACTGAGTCTCAGTCTTAGCCGGCAGCATGGGCAAAAGTTATGGCAGGTCTCGTAATGATTGCACATTTTGCTGGGTGCATACTGTTTGCCCCTTTTGCTAATTTCAGTGTACACTTTCCAACTCTTGCACTTATCACCTGGCACGCATGCATGTGTGAACTCCCCACAGGCCAGCATCAAACCCGAGTCTGGACTCTCTCTGGTGCCGACAGTTAATAATAGGGGAGGAGAAGCAGAACCTGTCTCTCTTATTTACATTCTGCCTTTGTGTTGTCACTGTGTAGAGACTCACATTTTTAAAAACTCCAGGAGGTTAACTCTGGCAGCTGAACAGGAAATGAATGTATGGGCTCCTGTTCCTAAGTAAATTAAATAGGTACAGATTTGGCAAAAGGACTGTTTAAGTAGAAAGTCTTACAGATACACGGTCCAGAAATTTTAATTAACGACTCGTAAGTGCAAATCATTCAAATCCATTGATGAGACAAAGAAAGTGGTAATTTAAAGCTCAACCGTTCTAACTGCATTAGAGTTGTTCATATTTAATGTATCTTATTATAAAATAAACATAATAAGCAAGATCGATTAAAAATATTTCTTGATGGTTTGGACAGGGAATTAGATGGAGACTTACTGGGTATATATGTATATATATCCTTGTAAATATAGGTTTATTTGTAGAGGAAGAATATATATAAAAGTTGGGCTGATGTGAATAGGCATGCATTTTATTTTAAAAATGTGCCTGAGTACATGGTGACTGTGGAGATGCTTTCATATTAGTGGGAGGATGTGACATTTGCAAATACTCGTAAATATGCAGCTTTATCTCAGGTAAGGGGTAACTGGAATTTGGATAAAAATCACATTTGTAAGCAAATTTACATCATAACATTTTTCCACGATCCTAAAGTATTTCTGACAGACACCACACATGATACGTAACCAGGGGCATTTTATTATTAATATGCTTTCTCTGGTGCCTCAGTGAGCCCATTAACTTTGCCCTAATCCACCTGAGGAATCCATTTGCCTAAAGGAAAATTAAGATTTGGCTACAGAAAGCAAGCTAGTAGAAAAAACATATTCTTTAGCTCCTGACATGCACAATAAAATTTTATAGTGGGAAAAATAACCCCAGAAACCAGGCTGCAGATGGGATTTTACCAATTCTTTTGTTTCCCTATAGCATAGCAAAAACCAGGAGGACCTGGATCAGAGAGTTTTCATGTGGCATAGAGATCCCATGATGATATGGTAATATACAGACAAGACAAGGAAAACTTTTTTCTCTCTCCCACCCCCCTCTCTCTTTCTTTCTATCTCAAGTTAGAGAAACTGTGGAAGAAAAAGAACATGCGAAAAGAGAGGAAGCTGATTCTTCCTTCTGATGCTTTGGCCAGGAGATGGGGAGCTGTGTGAGATAAGAGAGTGTAACAGTGAGGGAAGAGGGGGCGCGTACACAGAGAAATTGGGTGGGCACAGTCAGCTGGAGGGATGCAGCTGTCTTAAGATTTCGTTTTTTCCACCTATCCTCACTTTCCAACTTCAGTCCCCCACCACACAGACCTCTCTGACTGTCCTGACCAGTGAAGACTCCCATCACTACCTACCACTTCCAACTCAGTATCATACATATAGTGTGGGGCTTGGTTATTTTCCATGTGCTTTATCTACAGTAGTTTTTTAGCTTGTTAATTTATCCATATTGGGGTTCATATTTTATTATCTTATATGAAAGCATAAGAGTCAAACAGATGTGTGTTTGAACCCCTATTCTGCCAGGTGTTAGCTGTGAAACATTGAACCTGTTTGCTCACCAGAAAATTGGTACAATTCTTATCCCGTAGAGTTGTTTTGAGAAAAGAATTAATTTACATAGTGGATTTAGCCCAGGAACTGATACTCTTCCTTGCTCAAAAATATTTGATGGCTTCTCATTTACCCACAAGAAAGACGTCCAAAAACATAACATACATGGTCTAGCCCCTGCCTACCATTCCCATGCCATCTGCCTGTCTCTCTTTACAAAACTAAACTCCAAGCAAGACCATAAAATTTTGTAATCAGTATCTTTCATAAAATGTGAATAAAAGCAAAGTAGAAAGATTTGTCAAGAGGTTCACTTGACTGAAATATAGCTTTCTACCTACGAAAGTAATCACTACTGTTATCCTGCCCAGTAAAACCTTATGTTGTGTCTGCACACATATCTATACCAAGGTCTAGGTTTCGAACATCTCACAGTTAATTAAGAATGAGTCAAAAGTTTCTTTTCCTTCTTGAAAAGGAACAGTGATCCAACAGAGTTAACAAAATATAAAATCTATGATATTTGTGTGTTTGACCAAGGGTACAATAACCTTATTTTTATACAGTAACAATAGTACATAACATTATTTTCTATTTTATGATGAACTGAACTATTTTATGTCATCATTTTGAAAAAAACTTAAATTGCTAGCATAGTAAACTTCCCATAGGTCTCTCGATGTGACATGCTGTATCATGCTCCCATCCTTTGCTGTTCTACCCTCTTTGCATTGAAGACCCTTTAAGTATATTGTCTTTATAAAACTGCAACCTCCCCAAGGCAAAACTGAGCCTCTTCATTGAGAGCATCCCTGGAGCCCATAATGCTCCATAGAACTTCTTCACATTCCTTTTATTCACATGCCTTGCTCTTGAAAGTCATAAACCTTTGAGGGCCGGGACAGTGTCTTACTCATCTTTATATCTTGAGTACACAGTATCTGGCCACATGGGAAGTATTCAGTTAATATGGAGTGAAAAATGATCTTTCCCCAAAAGCAAAAAGAACATAGTAAGTTCTCAGTTAATATTTGATGGACAGGAAGATAAGGTTTTTATTAAACTTGAAATTGAGTTGGCTATGTAATCACAAAGATGTGATTGGACAACTCTTACCACCTCAAATTTTAATTTCATAATATTCATCCACTGTCAGTATTTCAAATCCTTCAAGGATATGTACTTCTCTCCTCAATAGATCCCAATTAGTACTGTTTGAGTAAATTCTTACAGGAAACAGTTAATCAAATATGTTATTCATTTGGAACTTTGCCTTACTGTCAACATTAATAATATTAGGTGCTATAGTTCTCTGTATCCTATATGTGTGTATAATTTAGACTCCTGGTTAATAATGGACTATGAGCTGCAAACCACAATGACACAGCTGTTATCAGTTTTCATGCCTTTCTGAGTGACTTGAGGTTATATCTTCTATTTCATAAAAGGGAGGGCAGCTAACAGATGGAATTTTAAACAAATGGCTGTCCTCAGAATGTCCTGCACAATTAACACCATATTCCTGCTGCAAGGCCAGTGAAGCCCAGCTATAAATGATCCTGTTGGAGACAGTTTGGAGGTGCTCTATGTTGGCATTAGGAATTTTTGCAGGCAGGTAGCAGGGCTCAAAGCAACGGCTCAGCTCTGAAGTCAAGCCTCCATTCTTTCCTGGTAGAAGAACTGAGCAGGACCTGATCCTGAGGGATTCAGAACTAGACAGATTTTCAGACAAAGACCCTAGCCCAGAAGAACACAGCTTGGACTGACTTCTAAAAATCAACTGGATGTTCTCAAAGATGCAGAGAGAGAGCAGAGCTTCCCAGACTTCAGTGGGCATACAAATACCGTGGGGCTCTTTTTAAAATGCAGATTTTGATTCAGTAGTAGGTGTAGCCTGAGATGCTGTATGTCTAACAAGCTCCCAATAATGCAGGGGATACTCATACTCCTTTGATGAGCAGGAACATAGATGCTGCAGGTTGGGGAAACCTGATTTACGCACTTGCCTTAATTTACAAGGCAAATCAGAAAGTCGAGAGGGACTCCTGAGAATCCTCAGTAGAACAGACTCCTGCCAATTCTGGATTTGCTCAGGGGCCTAAATGGCAACAGCAGGTGTCTATGGAAGGGAGAAGTTGCTGTGGGTTCTTTCTGTTTTTTACTTATAGGTTGCAAGATATGTGCAGATTTTTAAAAACACAGATTCTCTTAGACCAGGAATCAGAATATATAAGAGAGAATGTTCCTATTTATATAGCTTCGCACATAACTCCAATCATCAGCCAAATGACTCCAGTGAAGCCCTGTCTGCGTGGGGACAGCTGGAGCTGAAGCTTGGCCACTGTGCTGGGAAAGCAGGATAGGGGCGAGAGAGTGAAGAGGAGCCTGATGTAGTTTTTATCTTGTGATTTTACTTTATGCACACTGCCATTTTGTGCTTGCAAAAGAATGACTAACACTTGGACTTAATTGATTTTTAAGAATTACTATTTCCTGTTTTAGTTTCCTTTAGCCCTGGCTGGCATGTGTGCGCGAGCACGTGTGTGTGCATGTGTGCATGTGTGCACGTGCATGCTATAACCTCACTTGTGCTCGATTTCGAGTCCTAGCAAAATGACATCAGAAGCTTCTTGTTTATAGCTTAAGTAAGCATTCTGAAAACTCAGAACTTACCTTGCCAGAACTCTTAAAGAAGAAATCACTGATCCAAAGAAGTCCAAGGCAAAAGCATGATGTGTCTTGTTTGTTTCTTACCTGCTATTTACTCCCACTTGGTCCAGAGAATGATTTCCTGGGTCATAATTGAGACCTAATTGAATAAAGAAAAAAAGCCCATTACTCTGAGAGAGCAGGTTATGTGACCTGAGGATAAGTCAGGATCCAGAAGGCACTTCCTCCAGACTTCTTCTTATGAAGCTGTTACTCAATTTTTCACATTAAAAGACATCCCCTAGGCAGAATCAGCAAAGACAGGATAAGACGAAGAAAAATGACACTGCAGTTCTCCAAGAAAACAAAACCCATTTCCAAATGCTGCCCATCAGCTCAAGCCATTCATCTTCTCAATGCTTTCATGTCATCTTATTTTACTTCAATCAAAAATCCACCAGGCGGTGATATACCTTTTGAATGTCTGGACAGCACCGTAGATGCCATTGCTACTCAATGATTCTAAGCTTGGAGACTCTAAGTAAAACTGAAGGAAAAGGAAGTTCCAAAAGGGACTGGCGAATTAGGAGATATGTCACCAGATGCTTATTGAAGCAAACAGAAATAGTAGAGAAAGTAGACAGAAGTTGAATTACTAGAAGATCAAGAGATCTATTATTTTCTTTTTCTTTTCTTTTGCATTTATTTGATTATTTATTTTAACATTTTTATTGAGTAATAGTCATTTTACAATGTTGTGTCAAATTCCAGTGTAGAGCACAATTTTTCAGTTATACATGAGCATACATATATTCATTGTCACCTTTTTTTTCGCTGTGAGCTACCACAAGATCTTGTATATATTTCCCTGTGTTATACAGTACAATCTTGTTTATCTATAAGAGATTTGTATTTTTATCCAAAAATGTGATGTGTTTCAGCTATTATACTTCAGTGCTTCGGTTGGAATTCAGGTGAACACTATTTAAAATAAACAGGATATATAATATCTGTATTTATCCATCAAATAAACTGAAGAGAACCTCTGTTCTGCTTTCTCATCTTTAAAATGAGGTAGTTTCTAAGGGTAGTTTCAGGAATTAAGCTAGGTATATATACCACTTAGCACATGCCTGGTTCAGAATAGGTGCTCAGTAATTGTTAGCTATTATCAAATATTTAAAAGGATTGCTTCAGTGCACAAAAATAATTAACAAAAAATTAATTTAAACTGTGAACTTTCTCAGTATTATAAAGCATGCAAAAATTAGATATATTCTTAAACTTTTAGGATCTAGGGAGCTAAGTTGTAAATTTGTAGATGGCTATTCATTCTTAACTCATATTTTGAGTACATGTTATTTTATGAAGTTTCTACTCAAAATTCATTATATCCACCTAATATAATGCCTTGTGAGTGAAAGAGATTAGTAAACTAAGACTAAAGATATAGTGGGATAAAAGCAAGAAAGAAGTATGGGTAAGAGGATCATTGAGAAGGGGCAACTTACTCAAATTTTTCTTGGAGGAGAGAAAATTTAGATCAGAAGTCTTGACAGGGAGAAAACTGTCAAGTTGAAGAATCAGCATGTGGAAAATGCAGAAGCAATAAATGCACCATGCAATTCCAGGAGGCAAAGCTATTGAACATGGCGAAGGAAAGGCTGCATGTCTGGTAACAATACAGAAGTAGGGAGCAGTGGGATTCCTGAACCAAGTCAAGGCACTTGATGCCTTTAAATCACAAAAATAACATCTTCAACTTTGTATTTTAGTAAGATCACCATGGTGGCAGTATGGAGGATGGGTTAGTGGTGTCAGTCTCTGGTATAATGACCTAAAAATTATCTATCTGTGAAACGCTGTTCATCTGTATTGCAGCTCCATATAATATAATCAGAATGAAGGTTTCCAAGTTGATTCTTCAGCAGTATACCCAAGGACATCCAGATAACCTATCTCAATCTAGCTGCAGACAAAAACACGATCTCTGGGTGGGATTTTGAAAATATTCTCACCTGACAGCCTCTATTCTCTGAGAAGTGCACAGCAAGGACCTTTATTAAGAGTGAGGCGGAGGGGAGGGTATAGCTCAAGTGGTAGAGCACATGCTTGGCATGCATGAGGCCCCAGGTTCAATGCTCAGCACCTCCTCCAAATAGAAATAAATGAATAAACCCAATTTTTTTTTCAAAAAAAGAGTGAAGCAGATAGAGTTGGATTCTTGTTTCAGGGCTTAAAAATCTGATGAGTTCACTGAATTAATCATATCAAGAAAGTGTGCTACTGTCCGTGGTAAAAGGATTATTTAAGATTTCAGTGACCATTGCATCAGGGTTATTCTTGTCTTTTCAGAGCACCCTGAGGGGTTCCCAACTCTGAAGCCTCTAGACTGCACGACAATGAAAATACAAAGTGCCCCAGAAACCTATTCTTCACTTCAGTATTAAGTTGAATCATACGAAATCACTGATTTTGTCACATTTTTAACTTCAGAACTAGCAGTTTTATATGGTTCAACCTAGTAATGTTTTATATGTACTGAGAACCTCAAATATTTTGAAAAATGAATTGAAGCAAATTCACACCAAGAGATAGCTGCAGACAATTCACTTGGCTAGAAAACGGGATTTCTGCATTTCCAGTGCCCCCTCTCATCCCGAGACTGCTGAAGATGTGTCTACTGACAAAGATCGTCTCCCCAACCAAACTCTAAATCAGGCTCCTCTGAGCTGGTTTTCAACTTGGCCTTAATTCTGGACTTCCATGTCTGTCTCAGCATTGTCCACTTTTAGCAAGACTCCTGCTAAATCATTTTAGGAAGAATTTCAGCCCTTCAATATTTGATCACCCGAGATCTGTGATTGGGTTCCTCTCCCCTCCACCATCTCCTCCCTGCCACGGAGGCGATGACTGATCACCCTGGATTATCTTCAAGCAACAATCCCGCTAGGTGAATTTAGGCAGAATCCATCCTTACCCCTGATGTTTCCCCTGAGTAATTTTCCATCCTGCTCCTTAACTATAAATCCCCACTGTTCCTTGTTGTGTGCAGAGTGAAACCCAAACTCTGTGTCCCACAGCGAGACCCCTACTGCAGTGGTCCCTGCACCTATGGCCATAACTCCTCTGAATAAAGTTTGCTTCCCCATTCTTTAACATGTGTCACAAGTAATTTTTCTTTAACATGGCTAACCATGAGGAAGGGCAAACCAGCCCAGCCAGAAGCTGCTGCCCTCGGTGAAAATCATGTTCCTGGTTAATTGCTCCCTGCTGTTGACTTTTACTACTAACACTCCTCAACTAACCGTAGACTCAAAATTAACCTGCCTGCCTTTAGCTGGACTCTCCCAGGCCTGTGTGTAAGGCTCTAATTTCTGTCAAAATCAGGGCCAAATCCATTCTGCCTCTGATCTCGTTTCCACAGTCGATTGCACGCCTCTCAGGTCATCTGTCACTGACCATGCTCAACCTTCCACATGTCTGCCTGTCCTCTCCATAGACCCACATCTCTCCCCTCCTTCCCTTTCTACACCTTTCCAGGGTACTCCTGGGTGCTCCCTCTCAGATCAGCCACCTTCCACATGGATGCTCAAGGCAGTCTGAATCAGGATGTACATGGTTTAAGCAACCTCCCTGTGGCTGGAGTTCCAGGCTGTGTTTCCCAGCCCAGCTTTATCAGAAATTATTTTCATATTTGAGATCTATTTCAGCTCTGATGTCCCCCGTAGGGGAACAGTTAAGTCTGACACATCAGTGACTCCAACAAAAATGGACAACCATTAACATCCCCTCATTTCCTGCCATGTTCTATCCTAAAACCCCTAAGACTTCATTTCCCTTCTTGTTCTGCCTAAATAAAGTTCATGGTTCATCATTACACTAATTCTCTGGAAAATATTCTTGCCCCTTGCATTAAAAATATAATTTGATCAAAATAATCAATTCATTATTATCAGCCTAAAGAAAGATTAAATCTAGGGATCTAATTTCTCCCCCATTTGAGGAGAAAAATAGGCAGACAATCAGAGACACAAATGGTAGCTGAAAAGTAAATTTTTCTGCCAGAGTCTTGTATTTTTAGATAATATTCTCCATCTTCACACCATCTACTTAATGACGGGTGGTTTCACAATTTCCTGAGATATTGCCTTTCAGTTAAACACCAAGCCCCGCAGCCAAGCCTTACTTTCTTCTTTCCCAATGGTTTCTCCACTTTCAAAGTAGGTTGTGGCTAAGTCAGGGATCACCTTCCAGAATGATGAGACAAGTAAGAGCACTACTTAAATTGGTTTGGGGCCCAAAGGTCTCAGTGTCTAGAGTGCCTCAAGGTTTCTGTGGTTGAAAATTATGCTCATTGCAAATCATTGCCAAGGTGTCAAATGAAAAATTCTAGGAAGCCCAAGGATTTCAGGGTACTGTATGGTTAGAGGGAATGGATCTGCCCATATTCTGGCCAAAGACTTTTCTCTGACGCTATCACAAAGCCAGTATGCCTTAAATGGATCCCTTTTAATGATTAGCAAAATATTGGAGAAAAAGAATTGCCACAGGGGAGTAACTCTCTGCACCTCGCTCATACTTTGTCAGCTTCATAAAGAACTGGGCATTCTTTTGGGAACAATGTAGGGTAGGGAAAGCTGCAAACGGAAGGTGGATCATGTCATAGTTTATTTCCCTTCTTGGTCTTATTTCCACTCTACTGTTGGTCCTGGTACAGAATTTATGTAAGTAGAAATCTTATCTATAGCAGAGAACACTAGCTATTTATCAAAATTTATGTTCTTTTCTTTCCAACTAGAACCCACTTCCCAGACTCTTCTGGAGTTGGGTGTGGCCATGGGCTTAAGGTCTAGACAGTCAAATCAGAGCACATACTGTGCTGTGTCTGGACCATGGTTTTCTAAGAAGAAACTTTCTTAGAAAGAAAGCACTTTCTCCAGACGTTTTCCCTTTTCATTGGCTAGGTGGGCCTAAGGGGAAGGCAGAGCCACAGAAGGGAGTCCATGAACCCCTGTGTGCAGAAGAACCCCCATCAACCAGGAACACTTGGTTGGATTCTTCCATGCACAAGAGAGAAACTTCTATCATATTTATCCTTACACATTTCTGTCTCTGTGGCCTAGCTTATTCAATATGTTTACCAGATTCACTTAACTC